TGTTAATTTAATGAGAATACTGAAATACTGTAAAACCACAGAATATAATATATTCTTAAATATTATTTAGCAGACTAAGCCTGTGATTTAAAAAGTAGGAAGGAAAGATTTCATTTCGTTAACAAAAAATTAAAAAACGTTCAATCATAATACTCGTAATTGTGGCCCGACTCGAAATAGTCATTCATATTATTGTATTGACATTAACAATACGGCGCGAGCAAAAATACTTGCAAGTATGAAAGTACATGTTTTAAGACAGATGCTCGAATAACTTGAACACTATACGTGAAAATACTTGCATAGAAAATAATCCATATCTTAATAGAAATAAGAAACTCAATCGTATTTGTGAATAAAAAATACTTTGAACTTCAAAGTATTTTTTTTATTTATACGACTTTGCTCCGTATTCATAATAGGATAACATGCAATACGGGTCGAATTCCTATGCAAGTATTTTCAAATTTTGACACCGCGGCTGGACACGTCGCTCGCGTCAACAAAATACTTTTAAGTATTTTTAGAACCTGGTTTTCGACCCTGGTATTTTTCCATACTCGTACTTAAAAGCCCTGGTATTAAATTTTGCAAGTATGTCTCATCTCTACTGCAAACCCCAACCATTGCATTTTCAATCCAATTTGTGATTAAGTGATGATCTTTCCAAAAATTAGGGGTCAGTAAGGTTTTGGCCCGCCAATGCGTAACAATCGGCGACGGACTTCACGCAGCCGCGTGATAAACCGCATCATCATTCCCCATTTTAACCTTTAGAAAGATCAATCACATGAGATAGAAATGCGGTACTCTAGAATATTATCAAATTAAACCATATCGTGATATAGGTTACTACTAGCGCCATCTGTTATCACGCAGCACAATACTACAATACAAACTAAACAAAGGCTTATTTTCCTTATTTATTAAACTTCAGCACATATTTATTATATCATATATTTAGTTTTGTATTTTAGTACAAATGAAGAAATTTAAAGGCCTAATTGTTAAAAAAACTGTAATAACTTGTAAAAGAATGTAAGCATAATATCTTAGATTAGGGACCGTGCATCTACTACTTTTACGCCAACTGGTGGCAAATATCGTAACTAATTTGGATCGTTTCACAGAATACATTATAGATCGTTAATTTTATTTTAACACGACATTAATGCGTAATTACATATAAATAAAATATACTGATATACTTTTAATAATGTCAACTTCAAGGTAAAATTGCGGTATCCGTGACTGTAATAAATACATCACGTCAAAAACGTGGAATTGATGTGAAAGTGAAATTTTATAATTTCCAGGAGAGCATGTTTGGAGCTGCATAGAAATAGCAAAACGTAAACAATGAATAAAAGCAGTAAAAATTATGTGTAAATCCTATATTAGTTATTTATTAAATATTTATTAAAAAATTTAAATAAATTTCCATATTAAACTCGAGGCATGTACAAAACTATTATTTTGATAACTAAATTGTAATTATTATGATATTTATTTTATGCTTAAAACTTAACCTTTCATTTTTTTAGTTTCAGAGAAAATCTTAAAAGATTAGGCACCAAATAAAAATACAAGAATTTGTAGTTCTCATTTTATCAATAACGAAAAATCGGAACATCCGTTACATGCGTTTTATGTTCCCTCGATTTTTCCTTCAAGCGAAAATATAAAAAAATATACAATCCTTCGAACGTTTCCAGCGAGTCAAAAATCGTGAATTATTAAAAGTTGCTCTTGTGAGTAAGGAAACTTATAATTTAATGACCACCACCAATACAATGAATGAATGCAGTAATGGAGCAATATTATATTTTTTTTCTTTTTTCATAATTTTTTATAAATTCAAAATGGTTGAAGTCCATATTTTATTATTTTTTCCATTTTTTACAAATATTTTATGTTGTTTGTAATGAATGTTTTGATCCCACTATCTTCGTCAAAAGAACACTAGAAAGCGCTTATATCGGCAATAGTGCTGCATCTATGTTTCGCGCACGGTCCCCTATAGAAAATAATAATAAAAAATATTTGCTATATACCAAATAACATGAAATGTATTTTAATGAGGCGTTCAAATATTTCTATTCCTTTTCCTTTTCCCATACGACCTCTGAGGGCTTATAATCTTCCGCACACTAGATGTCGATATTTGGGAATGAGTTACAAGTTATTTGTTACACAATACATTGTGTATTGACATCATATTTTTTTTAAGAAGTTTCGTTTTAAATAAAAGTTTATCGGTTTCTTGAGTAAACATACAAAAATACCTAAGTGGTTTACTTTTGAATGTTTTGAACATTTTTAACTTTCTTTTATTATGAGGAATATCCGTAGTTTTTTTGTTTTGTTCACGCATTTCTTAATTAATTCATGTGTTAAAACTAATATTTCATAAAAAAACATTAACCCTTACATTTTCCCAACAAATTTACTTCCCCGCTATTAAATATTTTGAGTCATTGCTAAGTGGCGCCGCCCTGGTGACAGAAAAAGACATTAAAAGCGCTCATTGACGTAGACGCCGATACATCGGCATTCGGCACATAAGTATTTATTTATTTATTTAATCTTTATTATACACATTATATACTAAGGGATATAAAGGGCGGACTTAATGCCTTATGGCATTCTCTGCCAGTTAACCCTGGATGATTTGAGAAACTGTGGCAGGTGTAATCAATCACTTCATAAATAAATAATAAGAATATAAAACAAAATAAAATGCAAATGAATAGAATAGATATATAGTTAGTAAAATATACATACTTACTTAATATATAATATAGGATAATTATAAGTAATATATTAATAAAATTTTAACTGTACGTCTTACGGATAACTGCGTAAGGTAATAGGATAGGTACGGCCAAGCTATTTCTCTTCTCTTCTTTTTCTTTTCCCTATAAATCTCTTAAAATATCAATTAAGTAAATGAAATACATAGAAAGGCTAAAAAAACGTTTAAGATTTTCGATTCTTCTCTTTAAGTAAAGCTAAGATAGCTCAGGGACTGTATGTTCACCATATATTTCATAGCATGCTAGCGCGTTTGATTCTAGTTATCCTCAATTTTTCTAGGTGCTGTGAGATAAGGAAAAACAGGAAACCTGATATTTCCTGTCACGACTTACGACACTCACGGGATGATATACCTAGGGCAGTGAATTCTCTTACTCTGCGCGAAAGTGAACAGTCAGAATCGCCATTCGCGTACCGTTAAGCGAAATCTGTTGGACGAATGAATGACCCGATATTACGGAGCTTCAAATCTTTCAACACAAACACAACCGGCTCGCGAGTGTAAACATGTGTATAATTTATTTCTCTGAACCACATGAACGATACGCCCATGTTTAGAAACTTTACCCGTTATTCCACGCAGTTACAGAACTGCGTACAAATTGTGGGATGTGACTGCGTGAAGATAATTGAGATATTCGAATAAATTGAATTAATTAATTACAATATTCGGTAATATGTTCTCTTCTAATTACTGTAAAATGAAAAAGGCATTTCCAAAAATAAGCTCCGAGTGGTGAACAGTACAGTAGTACAGTACAGTCATAATTATTACAATAGTCTCTGGGAAATACCAAAAACATTTACTTAAGGTGAACGAAAGCAGTTAATAAATAATTATTATAAAATACATAAATTATCCGTGATAGCTCAGATGGTTAACGCTCGCTGTAAATATAACAGAACGCGAATAACCTGGGTTCGATTCCCGCCGGCACCAATGCAATTGTTAATTGCAATTTAAGTGCTGATTTACCATGTGCTCGGCGGTGAAGGAAAACATCGTGAGGAAACCTGCATGTCTGAGGAATAAAAAAAATATTTCGAAGACGTGAAGTTTGCCAACACGTATTGGGGCTGCGCGGCGGACACTTACTTGCCCTAAAATCCTCTTAGAAATGAGGGGAGGCCTGTGCCCAGCAATGGGACGTATATAGGCTGTAACTTTACTAACTTTTTATATAAGTTATCTTTATTTGTGTAAACCGATAATTCAAACATTAGATTATTGTATTTTTAAACCGACTTCAAAAATAGGATATGGTTCTCAATTCGACTGTATGTTTTTATGTGTGGTTGCCTCAGAACTTTTTTCTAGGTGAACCGATTTTGAGGATTCTTTCATATTTTTTTTATTTTTTTACCAAGATCTGACCAGTAGTTTTCGAGTTATCCTTAATAATGCGTATTTAATTGGCTTCGACTACATTGATGATGTTCTCATTTTATTTATATTGAAGTCAGTTGTACAATTTTTTTTTAATTTTACCACTTGTGTAGAGATTTGCGTAGAAATTAAATAATTTCTACGCAAACACACTTGTATAAAATAAGAGACAGCTCAAAGCATGCAATGGGCGGCAACCAAGCGGCGCATGGACCGTTAAAAAGAGAACCGCGGCATGGTAGCCACGAGCCACCAGTCCGGAAAACATTGGCTTTCCCCACACGTGATACGACCAATTGTTATCCACTGCGCCGTTACCACGTTCTCTATGATAACTGGATTTCCCTCATTACGCATGAAGTTACATTTATCCAGTAATTCTACATTGGAAGTAGTGTACGCAAAATAACCTATGGTTTTCATATTCTTATGTGGTAGGAAAATTAATTTAGTTGCGTCTCGAGGGGGTTTACGAAGAAAATAACTTTAAGATTTCGAAACTTACCTTTTTACTAAGTTTTCAGTTGAAAGTTATTAAAATATTTCCGTTTCAAGGTTATTATTGAATCGGATGCTATGTTTTTATGGGGATGTCTGTGTTTATATACGTAGTTGTACTTTGTACGTTCGTGGTTAATCTCGAGAACGAAATTTAATGGTATCGACGTCGGACTTGTTTTTCCAGCAGTTTTTTGGTAATGTACATATTGATTGAAGATATGGCGATGGCAAACTAACCGAAATTTAAATTTGATAATATTTAAGTACTTTTTACCTATGCAGGTAAAAGCTGAATATGCTTAAAGTAATTTATTAATATGTAAAAATTGTATTCCTATTTTCCTATTTCATATTATTCCAGATTTCTATTTTTGTTACTTTCAATCGGAAAGTTTGACCTGCCGATTCGAACGCATTTTTTGTTAATTGTATGGTAAGCATCAACTATACGAGTCCTGTTTACGAAGAATTTTATAAGTTGTATACCACAAGTATAACACAATATAATACCACAAATTAACAAATATCTAATGCACGAGTTATCGATTTGCATAAAGGTATAAAAATAAAGAATACTACCTTGCTCGGTAAACGATGTTCTGCCCTTTTCGACGACCTTTGTCATGTACTAATAAAAATCCTTAAATTCGCAAAAAAATTGTGGGTCACTCATGGGCAAAAAAACTGTCCTATCTCTCAAGTTGGACCAAACTGCACACAGTGTGCAAAATTATATTGAAATCAGTTCAGTAGTTTGGGAGTTTATCGCGGAATAGTAACGTGACACATAATTTTTATAATAAAGAAGATATAATATCAGTAATATGCCGAACCGGGTTTAAAAGACATATTTGTGAAGGCCACCAATACCATCTAGTACAACCTTTACATAAATAAGAAAAGGAATGTTACCCTGGTCTCAAGACGTTATACATAAAATTATCTACCTCGTTAAAAAATAAGAAAATTTAAATTTAAATTAAATGTGTACCGTATTTTAAGATTTACAACCGGTCGTATCCACGAATTCATGAATAAATGTATTTGTACATTCATGAATAAAAATGTCTTTGTAACTGACGAACGCGTGGTTTAGCAGTCAGTATAACAAGGCTTCCATTACGTGAATTATTGGTTCGAGTTTTAATCGATGCCAACATTTGTGCAAATTTTACCCTTTTTTACGGGAAATATCTTACATCTTAGTCCTCAGGGGTAACAACGCATCTGCATTTTGATTCGTAATCGAGGATAAATGTAGATGTCTATGGGCCATAGCATCCATTTACCATCAGGTGAACTGTGTGCTACTGTGTGGACAATAAAAAAGAAGAAGCTTTCCGTGTACCGTTGGTATAGCAAATTTCAGCACAGTTGACTAACTTTGACTTAATATGTAGAAAGAAGTGGTCGGCATTTGATCGCTTATACGAAAGAAAACGTGCGAAGTGAAAATGTCTATGGGCCACAGCACCCACTTACCATCCGGTGGACTGTGTGCTCGATTGTCACCCTTATTCTATTAAAAAAAACATGCGTGCGGCTCACGCGCGGCAGAAGTGAAACCTTCAAATAACATGAAATATAAAATAGAAATACTTTACGGCAAATGATTTATTTAATATTATAATTTAAATATAATTTAAACTACAAGTTCGGCATAAAGAAAATTTAATTTTATAATCAATAAATGTAACAATCCTTTTAATATATATATATATATATATATATAGTACCCGGTTGACCGAGCTTTGCTCGGTATTTTTCGCTCGGTTTTTTTTTAATTCGTGTGTTTTGGAAATTATATTTAGATACAAATTACATACTGATGAAATACGAATAATATTTTTTGATCGTAGCGACATAATAGAAAAAACTGAACTGGTTATTTGAATAAAAAATCATGAGTGCAATTAGTTTAAATTAAATTTTCGTGGTTTTTAAAAAATACTAAAAAAAGGTCACGAAAAAATAGATTTTCTCAAAAAAGACAAAAACTTGAAAAAAAAATTAAAAAAGTCGTTCGGTCGGTCTATATACCAATTAAGCTATCTGTAATCATTAATAAACTGTCAAAATTTACCTTCTTATTCTAACGATATTGTAGCAGTTTTTCATTGCCTAAAAACACGGACAAAAAGACATTTTCTAAAAAATTAATCCTAGCTAGATCGATTTATTGCCCCCGAAACTCCCTGCACACAAAATTTTATGAAAATCGTTGGAGCCGTTTCCGAGATTCCGATTATATATATATATATATATATATATATATATATATATATATATATATATATATATATATATATATATATAAATCATGAATTTTTTTATAATTTTTTTGCAATATGGTTAATTGTATTTGTTATTTTTTTACTACTACTACCGGTTTAACCCGACCATGTTTAAAATATCTAAAGAAGTCTTCGACATTGTTAATGTACTTTTAAAAATACGGGACTACCACTAATTTTTACGATGAGTAGATTAATATCCCTTCTAATGTTTGTATTCTTGTCGATATACCTTATATAGTACTCACTAATTACAAAAAGATTTATATCAATTTTACCTATTAGAAAGTTGACGTTGGCCGTTCTTCACTGCTTGTTTATTAATAGGCACACGACACTTTCGTACCTTGTTGAACAAAACGCATAAGCGACGCCGTTTCGGCGTTTACGAACCCACACCTCAAATAGCCACTACGCTTTTCGTTTAATACGAAACTTAACTACATTTAAAGCATAACCATAACGCTGATTCGTATGGCTTACTGATTTGAAATTGATGATCAGTGTATATGAGCCACAACATCCAAACATCAGGTGGACTGTGTGCTCATTTATCACTGTTACTTCAAAATATAATAATATATATAATTATAATGTTGGTTGTGCGAAATATATTTGTAAATTTTACGATATCAAAAGCATTTCTTTCCACCTTACATGACAATTTTTTTAAATTCATAATTAAAGAGAAATATACAAGAACATATTATGTTATTACTAATTACTGCAAATCTATGATTAAAAAATACAGGATATTTGTTTAGTTTATAGTTATCATAAAATTAAAATAACTTTTCTGTTCTTTTCAGGAACGTCGCGCACACAAAAGTAATCGATCATGGTGGGCATCATTGCTCTTAGCAGCAGCGTTAAAATACGCTCAAGCACAATGTCCTTGGAAAGATTCGCCAATATTACAGTCAGCCTGTGTCTGCGCCCTCAATTTAGCACGAGACTTATCTGTACAATGTGACCAGGTATTATTTCTAATACTAATTACACAAAAAATCTATAGTAAATAAACATCACGTCAAGGATTCAGATAAAGAGAATCTACCACCGCATTTAGTCATGTGTGTATCATAAAAGAGGAGTATGGAAATTGCTAGAAAATATATAATGGCTTCTTATAGACGGTGAGATAAACATCTATGTCAAATGTAAAATGCACAGCCCGTCGATGACCAGCAGATTCAAATGTGCGTCGAGGAACAGCTGGCATCGTCAATCGGACCAAAGACAATTATGAATAAATATTTTACTCATAGGTACGTACCTATGAGTAAAATATTGTTATGTCATATTGAGTGAAGTCACATTAGATCAGTAACCCATCAAAGCGTCCCATTCAATGTGTATACATAAGTGGACCACTCTATGTTCCTTTGTTTTTTTTTATTGTTTGTCCAATGAGTAACTTGTCGTATTAAGCGTACTGAGAAAAATCTTACCTATCATAACGATACTCTTATAGGTACTTATGACTTATGAAAGTAATGTTTGTGCTTAGATTATTGATAGAAGACCTATGAACAATCTGTTTGTGAATACGGGCATAAAACACAACATTTACTATCAATATATGTTAATAACTTTCAATTATATTGAAATTAATATTGTTTTACAATTATTTTTCAGGTGGACTTCGCAATGCTATTGACAGCGCTAAATTCAAACGCACGCAAAATTTCAATAGACTTACTCTACGTTAACAATTCCAGCATCCCCGTACTCGGTGACGACATGTTCGAAAACCTCAAAATTCACAATTTACAGATATCTGGTTGCAAAATGAAAAGAATAGAAGACGATGCATTTAGAGGGCAAGGTCCGTATTTAAAAAATCTCAACTTACAGGACAATGAGTTGAGTGAAGTACCAGTTAAGACTCTAAGAGTTTTAACGAATTTATCTCTGCTTGATCTATCGAAAAACAGGATAACGCGTGTGGGAAATCACGCGTTCATTACCCTCCATAAATTAACAACGTTAAAATTATCTGATAACAATGTAACTTTAGAATCGCAAGCATTAACAGGTTTGGAAAATTCCCTGAAAAATCTAAATTTAAAGGGCACAAGACAGAAAGTTGTTCCAGAATGCATAAAAGGCCTTCGTAGTCTAGCGTTCCTAGACTTATCTCAAAACAGTATCAGAGAATTACCAGGACCTGATGGCAGTCGCAATTTCGAAGGGTTAAATTCTTTGACAGCGCTTAATTTAGAGAGAAATTTATTGGTAAATTTGAAAGAAGACGCTTTTACCGGTATTAAAAACACATTAAGTTCATTGAGCTTACTAAATAATTTATTGCCAGAATTCCCAACGGCAGCCATCGGAACATTAACCGAACTGAGAGTGTTGGATATTGGATTTAATTTGTTAAACAAACTACCTTCTGATGCTTTTCTTAAGAATCCTTCAATAACATTATTAGCATTAGATGGAAACCCTTTACCTACCGTTCCAGAGGAAGCTTTAGCTCATTTAAATCACACATTACGTGGTCTTAGTATTGGAGGAAGATTTTTAAACTGTGATTGTCGTCTCCGTTGGATAATAGAATGGATACGTAGCGGTGAGTTACAAGTCACCTCTCGTGAAAGAAGTCCTCAATTTTGTGGACATCCACCGCACTTTAGGGATCGTGGCTTTTACAGTTTTGAACCAAATGAACTTGTTTGCGAGCAAGAATCTACAACACCGCTGCAAGTTACGCTAAACTTAACAACAATGAGCACCCCTTCTCCTTCCACAACAGCGAAAGAAAATATCAATATAAACACAAGTCCAACGACGACTTCAAAAACTAGCGTCCGAACCACAATACATAGTTCAACAACAATAGTGCCTTCTAGCTCAGGTCCTAGTGAAGACACTACAGCTAAAACAGCAATCACACAAACAACAACAACAACAAGCAGCGAACGACCAAGTCGCACATCCTCCATAAAACCAGCCGCACCTACTTGGCGGCACAATTCTAATCAACGACCTCCACTAGTAATGAACTTTCCCCAACAAAAGCCAAAAATAGACGATTCCAACGAAGTCATTGTAAAAAATGCATACAGGCAAGACAATTCTGTAATAATACAATGGGATTCAGATGTCGCTAATATACTCGGTTTCCGTGTAGTATATAGATTGTTTGGTGATAAAAGCTTCAAGCAGGGACCACCATTAGAAGCCAGCGAGAGAGAATTCAAAATTAAAAATGTTCCGTCTCAGGTAAACATTTTTCATTCAATTTATTTCTGAAAATTATTTTAACTTACTTATACAATACTATTGTTACAGGAATGTATTGTTGTCTGTGTAATCTCGTTGGAAGAAGTGCATGTGAGTCCCGAGACAGTACCATACGCGCAGTGTCGAGAAGTACGCACAGTATCGGCTGCCGCATCCAACATGGATAAAATAACAATAGCTGCAAGTGCAGCTATCTGCGGTACTATCGTCGTTGCAGTCCTAATTTTTGCGGTGGCATCGCGACGCCGATCACGGGCCGTGCACCGACTGCAGCTGCACAGTCAGGCTCCAGAGAAGATGCCTAGCACCTGCTGTGGCGGTCTTCCTGGAACGCCAAGTCCCAGCGGACCACTATCATCGTTGACAACGATCGGCGCATTTGGAAAGCAGCGTGAGTGGGATCAAGTGTCAGCTTATAGTGCACGTTCGATCCCCCGCGCACGTACCTATACAGAACCGGCTGCTCCGGATCCCTTACCAGGCCGACCAGGCCGTACTCGTTCCCTTGCAGATGGTCAATCCCAACATAGTCACTCTCATTCCAATCGCTATGGTGCGCCGGGATATCCGGGCAGTTTGTTAGGATCGAGAGCCGGTAAGTAACGCGTATTAAACATTAAATAAAGGGCTTTTGAAGACGTTCTTTGATGATATGACTGTAAAGAATTCGAAGATTAGCATTATAACTTTCTTTTACCCTTCTAGATCTTCGCCAATCACGCCAATCGTTAGGCGCAACTTCGGAACGAGCGTCTCGATTGTCACTTAGCGGTGCAGCTGGTGGAGCGACCGGTGCTACTGCTGGCTCTAGGAGAAGACCGCGGTCGAGATCGCGACCAGCTAGCCGATATAGCGTCGGCTCTATAGGATTAGGCTATTGTGACACTTCCGACAACTGGACTGATCACGATATGGATATATACATGGCGCGAAACGCGACAGCAAGAGGCGGGCTGGTGCCGTTATAGCGCGAAAAGGATACGGGCACGGTATGGAGAGAAAAAAGGCAGCGCGAACGCTGTTCGCCCTTGCAGATGGGCACCTCAACTTGCACATCGTGGTGCACGCATGAGAGCCACACCTGCAATCGCCCACGCCGTCGCTCAAACCGTCATGGACGTTCGAAACGCAAAAAATACATTGAACAGACTTGGGAAAGATATGATAATAACATAAACACGGCTTTTCATTGACTCTATTTACTCACCTAAATATTTGTAGTCAGATTTTAAATTATTATAAATCGAAACATTGCACGTTGATTAGAAATAGCTACAAAGATAGTGTCAAACACTAATATATGCAAAAAATCCTCTCTTGGTAATATGTGTTTGAATTAATACTTTTTAAATATGCAATGACTTCTAAGAGTTAACCAAGCAATACCATAAAAGTATAAACAAACAAAACTGTGTAAAGTTTACAAGTTGGGTTATATGAAAGAATGACCAAATGTACATTTTCATTATTGAAAGATTTTACTTTCGAAATGTAAAATGGCATGATTAAAATAGTAGAATGTACTATTTAATGTATTCCTAAATATAACTTTACAAATATTTATACATTACGTATGTAATTCGTATTGTATATAACTATGACCATTTAAAATCGACGTAAGGGTATATAAAATGATAATAAATAATTATCTCATAAAATAACAATAATAACATTATGTTTAGAAAGTGAAACGTACTGCTAGTCACAAAATAATTTCCATTCACTGCACTACACAAAATATAATTTATTTTAATAATTAATTTATGTAGAAAATAAAATGTAAATATTATAATATAAAAGAAAGAATAAATTCTTTTACCGATTTTCACCTAGTTAAAACAGGTCGCATTTCTTGATTTACGTAATGCTAATTTATTTTCAATATGTGTGTTACATTAATATAAGTATTCGAGTTTTTTAATTAAAGCTATGGGGGTAGAAGTAAGGGAGGACCCTCTCTGTGTATAGAAAGTATCTGTAAAGAAAACTGTATTTAAGATGACATTACTGTAGTAAAAGTTCCAAAAATAGGACACAACTAAAAGGGCAAACAAATACATAATCATCTGAATTATGCTTTATTTTTTCTTTTAACCTTTGCAACTTTTCACTGTATCATTAAATCACAGCAATCACAACTCGTTGCAAGCTATTTTTCCATGTACACTTCACTTTGCTTCAATCACCAAGTGCAGAACTAACCCAGATTGTCTAAACTACCATACAGCATATAAGAGAGAGAGAGAGAGAGAGAGAGAGAGAGTCCTCTTACCTATACCCTCCATAATTAAAGTTGTAAATAATATGTATATTATAGGTATGTTGAAAAATAAAGAGTTGTTAAAATTATATTGAATAAACTAAGCTAACTTGCTTAAATAAACTAAGAATATGATTGTATATATTAATGACCAATTGGCAAATGATTTAGTAAAATTAAAAATAAATTCTAAGCACTTTTAAATTATTAGTTAAACAACTTTTAACTGTAAAATAATAAAATAAAAGTGATCTGAGGGCAATCCTAATGGTGCTATTTTAATTAATGCAAAATATTGTAATTGTTTAAAAATGTACAGAAAATTTACAATAATATAATGATAATAAAATCAGTGAGTCACTTGTATTAATTCCCTTACTTCAAAATACTTCAACTGTAACTAGCAACACCTCAATTAACTATTGACTAAAATAAATTTTCACTTACCCTGGCACAAGAATTCGATGTTCCCATCGATACTGAAGCTCTTGCACAAACTCATACCAGAAATGTGCTAAATATGGTAATCCACCAGCATCTAAGAGGCGTGCTGCCGTTACAGACAGCCTCCAGACTAGACCATCTTCAGGACTTGTTTTCACATAATTGCATAGTTTTGTCTCACTACCATCACTCTAAAAAGTAAAACACCTCTGTTATTGCTGTTATTCTTTAAAAAAAGATTAATTTTAAAAATGATACACTGTATAGTTATTTTCATCTCACAATGGCGGATTGATCTCACTTGAGTTTAGGTGAGGGTGACATTGTTTTAGTGTGCGTGCTTTGGAGTATTTAAAATTGTATCATTTTCACAAAACATTTTAATCAAGATCGAAATTGTGATTTAAATGTAAATAACTTTTTTTTGTTGATAGGAATAATAATTTTGTTTCAGCTAAAAATTTATTAGACATGCAGTTTTCCTCACGATGTTTTCCTTTACCGCTGAGCATGTAGTAAATCAGAACTTAAAATAGCAATGAACAATTTACTTGAGGTGCTGGCAGGGATAGAACCCAGGTGCTCGTGTTTTACGGCGAGCACTTAGCCCCTGAGCTACTAAGGCATGTCTGAGAAGTTAAAACAAATTGAAAACATTTAAAATCCACCAACAGGCTTGAGGCAGCACATCTCCTGCAACGCACATAACATAGTAACTTTGCAACATTTCTATACATCGCACCTGCAGACAAAGTCACATTATTGCAATTTTCAATATTTATTTCTATATTCTTGTTGTCATCATTAACTTGTCAACAGTGCTTTGTTGGATTTGGCATGATCTCCATATGTGGGAGGTTAATTAACAGCTTTAGAACCAGATGTATTGTATGTACCTTTGATGCTACTCCCCAATTATGTTATGATATATTATGGCTTCCCTTTGTCAAGTAACTGGGCAAGAGGAACAGGTCGTCACTCCATCCAGAGGGGACTGGCCATATATAATTTTTGCTTAACGGTATGAGGCTGCCACTCAAAAAGCTCTCCAGTTATTGAGTTATTCTATCAAGAAATTCTCAGTAGCAGCCCAGGGTCAAGAAGTTGGCGATGTTTAACTCTCATGCCTCGGAAAGCATGCCAAGCCGTTTGTCTTGTGCCTGATCTCATAGATGGTAGTATAACTATCTCATTTACAGACATTAGCATCAAAAATGCATGACTTCTAGTATCGCGATTGTCCAATCTACCAAACATGAAGAATTGGGTGAATCCAAGGAAGAGGCCCATGCCCAGCAGTGGACTTTTACATGCTGATAAAGAAAAATATTTCTCAATGTAGTATTAGTTGTCTGAAAACAATATATTTATGGTACAGATGGACATCTATAGACTTACACTTCTCCATTTTTACTTAAATAATAAAAGACAAAAAAAGTTAAAAACTGCATAGATTTTTTTAATAGTATTCAGTGACAAACGAGCACACAATCCACCTGATGGTATGGGTGGAAACAAGGGGTAAGTTTTCTTTACAGAATATGGATGATAAATTGAGTACACTTGATGGTAAGTGGATGCTGTGGCCCATAGACTTTTACATCTATCCTCAATAAAGAAACAAAATTCAGATGCATTGTCACCCCTGAAGACTATGATGGAACGCCTCGATTCTAGTAAAAAGTCTCTAGTTCTCTACGCTTACCATATGAAACACAGCAGCATTATTTTAAGCTGGTATTCTGTGAGAGTGTGGTCCTTCTCCGGTCGAGCCGACCCATTTGTGCTACAACTATAACATAGCTACAGCATGGCTCTACCACATAGATAACAAATATAATTAATATAAAGCAATACAATTGCATACTTGCTTAGATTCCACATCTAGCTGTGAAGGATACGTAAAAGTACTATTTTCAACTGCATCCGGAAATACATAGTACAAGAGCGGCATCAACAAATCATCTGTTATAGGACCTTTAAACTCTGTGATACTCGAGCTTTGACCCATAGCAGCCTTAACAAGTTTAGAAATTGTTATAGGGGCTTCTGTAATTTTATGCAATGGATTGACCAAACCTAAGCTTTTACTTAATCCTAAAATATCCATGAGTAAATTTTTCTCATCCAATAGTTCCATCATCTTACTAATAATTTCAGACAACTGACAATGTATGTTGCTTCTTAACTTGAGGGTTATAGTCCAAGTGGGAGCCATTATTGGATCAATATCAGAAAATGTAGAAGAATCAACTATGGCACTCTCACGGAACTGAGGCCAAATTGTATTTAATAAAGCACTATGTATAGGATTCTTTTCTGCACCAAATGGAAGTTCTATCAATTTCTTAACATCAAAGCCTTCAATTGATAAGAATTCATTTGACAAAGTTCTCTTCTTCCATGCAAATGTATCGGAGTCCTTCAGTTCATAACAGAACTTAGCTGATATTAGAACAGCATCAAGAGCAATAGGGGAAGCAATCTTTGACTTAAACAGACTCACTAAACCACTAAGATGAGAGCACTGATTTGAAATCCTTTTCAAGTGTATTGTATCAAAATTAATCTTAATATCATTATCTTCATAGATACCTAAATATACATGCTGCCAATGTTCCCTGATTTTTACAAAAAAAGGCACACCACAATCGACATTTGCAAATGCTATATTTACTGAACTCATAACAAGTTTTATTATACTCCCATCTACTAGTGGACAGTTAGAGTTTAACATTAAATATCTTTTTAATCCAAACCAATTAGAAACAGGGAAGAGACTTCCATCGACATCTTCCATAAAATTAGATGCTGAATCCAATAATCCTCTTTGTAAATCAGAAAGAAACGACTGATCATCTGAGTTTTCAAAATCACAGGAGTTTTTGGCTGGCTCCAGCATATGATAGGAAAGTGTAAAAATGATACCATTAAACTTGAGTTCTTCTGACTTCGTCAACCATTTCTTAGTGTATTCTGTACATTGTTTATGCAATTTGGATTTAGGCAAATGCCACTCACTAATAACCTCCTCTAGACGTGCTATAAACACTTCCCATTCAGATACAGTCGTAAAGTCCTGGTGGTATATATCATATTCATTAATTTCTTCATTCATTTTTATGTCCGTAACATAAATAAATACAAAACAGCTGTTTGAAACAGAAATCAGTCCATAGATAATTTTTTAATTATTTTAATTATCTGGCTTTACAGCTCTGGATTCTAGTCCTTTGCCCACAAACTATAGTTCGGCCGTTCAGA